AGTTAACTACGGCTACCTCCAGATTAAAAATTAAGTTGCAGTTGATAATTTTACTGAGACATATTATTTATATTCGAATATTTATATAAATTAATATAGGTATAAAAATATTGCATTTGGGACGGGATATTGGCCTTGTATTTGACCAAGACGCAAAAAATCATGGATGCAGGTGGTTCAGGATCGTACTTAATGGCATTACTTAGAGGAGGCCTATGCTCGGCTGTGGACTTGTGATGAGCTATAATGATGATGATGTTGATGGCGATGATGAATTGGCTTGTTGCGGTGCGTTGGTGGTCTAAGATGGTCCTCATTAACCAACGTCAATATTGCATTTTCCGTAGTATCAATAACGTAGACATTAGATAAAGCAATTTTTTCATGAGTGTCCCAAGGACGATCGTAGGTCATATAAAAGCTGAATTGTGTCCGAGTCAGTTGCTTTGTCAAAGTACTAAAAATTTATTCTGATGCACTAGCGTTTGGTAAGATTAAAACTTGAGTTTTTTACTATTTCTAGTTGTTATCAGGCTGTTTCATTTCCCTCTGTCGCCGCTAAGGATACCTACCTATGGCATGATACGAGTTAGTGGATTCCTACGCCGCCACTGCACGGCGAATTCTTCCCAATACATAAATGTATAATCCAAACTAATCTATTTAGTGTAGTAAATGAATACCTAATATCGCAACTTATTCCTACTAATCTTCAACAAGTAAGTTAAATCGGAACACGTAACGCCATCTATTGGTGCTCTATCAGACAATCAGAAACCGGTTTGTTTAACCTTACCCTTAGCGGCTTGTAACGAAAATAGCTCGTCGATGGTTAAACGTGCACTGTCATATCCAACCGACAGATTGACGGCTGTGACAAGCAAAAAAATAGTTATAAGTTAATAACAGAGCTGTTAATACAATAACTACCATTACCTTGTTATGTGATTATTGATGAAATAATAATAACCTTTCAATTTTGTAAGCTATTTATTAAATCAATTCAAATTTTTACTGCTCTAGTAATAATACTCCTACTGTCAATTATGTATTTTAAACAAAACTTATTACAGTTTATTTCTGAGGAAATTTGTCTAGTAAAACATTACATAAAGATTTTTTTATAGGATAAGGGTGACAAACAAGCACACATAGTAAGTGGTTGCTGTGGTCTTTAGACACCTACATCTATAATCAGTTAAGAATCAAAATGCAGATGGGTGGGACCCCTGAGGACTAAAATGGAACGCAAAAGAGTCTCATGTTCTTGCTACTAAACATAATGAAACGCAGCGGTGTCATTTTGTTATTTTACGTTGGTATTCTGCAAAATACGAAAGTGATATAATATTCATCTTTTTCTTGCATCTTCCTGAAAGCAAGTTAATAATAATAAGAAAACTGCAGTTGCCAAACCAGCATGCAATTAAGGCAAATATACGAAGACGTGGAACTATTAATTAAGTTATAAAGAAATGAATAAATGAATTCTGTAAAAGTGTGGTCCTTCACCAATCTAGCCGATCTATTCGTCCATAATACTAGGTACTGTACGTACTTACTACGTCAAATTAAAAAAAAATTAATATTTCCTATGTCTGTCTACCTTACCTATACCAGCGTAAAATAGCAGCTTAACGCTGCTGTGTTTCGTATGGTGGGTGTAGAGAACCGGAGACCCTTTTTACTGGAAATGAGGCATTCCATCTTAGTCCTCACGGGTGACAACGCATCTGCATTTTGTTGGATGTAGATGTCTATGGGCCACAGTAACCACTTACCATCAGGTGGACCTGACGGTAAGTGGTTGCTGTGGCCCATAGACATCCACATTTATCCTCGTTTGCGAATCAAAATGAAAATGCGTCATGAGTGTGGTACTTCTCCGGTCGAGCCGACCCATTCATACTACAACTATACTACTAATATAGCTGCAGCATGGCTCTCTCAACCAAAAGTGATAATGAATGGCAATCTAATCCGGAATCCTGCCACTTTTGTGCCGTTTCAACAAGTTAGGGCATGTTTCCTTAGTCCTTGAAAAAGTTCATACGGTGCCCACATTCCGATCTTCTTTTTTACAATTTCTCACAAATGATTCAATATCGTTATCATTGCGTACACTGCTCCTAACTATCATCTCAAAGCACACGAGGGATGTTTGTCATAGTTCTCAAGCTTAGCACACGGGTTGGCAACCGCAGTTTTTTATAATTGTTGCGTTCTTAATCAGGAATATGCTGTTGCCTATTTCGTTTAGTTTTCCTCTTGCGCGCCTTACAACACTCAAGCGATGATATGGGGATATGGGGGAGGATTCTCTAACGCCGTATCCTGTACGTCGGCGGCCCGTTTTGCTTTATGCCGCCTCTACATGGCTTATAAGTGTAGTGGTGTAAAAATAATAAAACTAAAAAGAATATTTTTTGAATCCTTTTACTATTTACTAATATCAAGAAGTTATTAATACAAATTCAAAAATCCTAGACCCGAAAAAGTTATACATACATTATATAGGCCATACAAACACTTGTCCTATGTAAGATTTGAACTTACGGCCTGCAGCGCCATACCAAAGGCTTAACCACTGCGCATCCAAGCGCTCTAACCTAAATCGTCTGAATCCATATCTGAAAAACTAGTGCAGAGGAAAAACATCACATTTGCCATGGTGTCGGTTCTGCACTCACCAACCCACCCGTCCCGCATAGTAAGGATACACAAATATTTCAAACAATGCATTCATATTCTTAAAAAGGCATAAGTCCAAAACAATAACAACGAAAATAATATTATTTTATTATATTTTTGAAATATATCTCAGTACTTCAAATTGACCTGAAAGTTGCTATTTTTTTACACAAGTATAGGTGACATACAGGACAGAGTCCACTTAATTAATGGTTGTCGAATGCGGTGACCCATAGATACTTACATTCTGATATATATCTTCTATTAAGAATGAAAATGGAGATGCGTTATCACCTCTGAGGACTAAGAAGGAATGCCTTGAACCAGTAAAAAATGGCCTCCCGTTCTCCTTACACACCACATTAACAGTATTTTAGGTTGTTATTCTATGCGAGCGTGGGTTTTGCCTGTTCTAGCCGACCCATTCGTACTGCAGATATAATACAACGAGGCAGTACCAAGTATAAAATCTATGCTCAAATCATACCCGGAAGCCCGGAAGTGAATTTCCGACTGTTAACGGACACTACAGCGTATAATGGCGGTGTAAGGATATCGACTATCACACATCCCGAGGGGGTCGTAAGAGCCGACAAAGGGAAACTGAAACAGCATCTTCTAAGTTGCTGCCTAACATCTCCTATAAAAAATAATAAAAACTGGCCTAAAAATAATTGTTCCGGGTCTGAATATTTGCCCTCGTGTAATTTATTTTTATTTATGTAAACTACCTCCTCGATACGGGAAAAATCCTAATGTGAGGGGGGGAGAGGAGTAACGTTTTTCTAAAGGAAAGAAAAAAAAACTTGTTTCGTGCGGGATTTGAACTTGCATTTCCTCAGCGTCGAAATTAATCACTTGGCCATTACGCTATAGAGTCATCTAAAAAGTATAATCTTTATTTTTTAAATTAACTAAAATGCAGACTTTATCCATATGTATTAATACCACGAGTGAATGCCTTGTTACGCAAATAATCGCTGATTGATTTTATTAACCCTAGAACACTATACTTTTTACATCTCTCTTGGACAAAAACGGTCCCTTTACTCCAAGATAGATGCATTTTTCCTGCATCATCGTTGTTAATCATCATTACGAGTACAGTCCATCATAATTCTACTGCTGCATATAGACCTCCCTAATGCAATTTCTGCATGTTTGTTTCTAAGTATTTACATTCTTTTGTAAATTACACGATTTATTATACATTATACGTTGAAATCGTGTACATATAATAATTTTCAAGTACAATTAAAAATAAGTTAGCCATAAAGATTAGTTTTTTTGGTTCTTGGCGTTACTATTATCAATATTATGATAATATGGTCTTACCAATTACTTTTAAAACATCAGTGCCAACACTTATACGTGCGATCACTAGGTGGCGTAGTCTTAAAAGACCGGAAATATTTTTTTATGGCGAACATAATGCTGTTTATAATAATATTCAGAATATTACAGTTAATTTCCAACTCAGCCTGCGTCGAATATAATAAGTTACAGAACAAAACGAACGCCAATTTTTCTATCGATTTTAGAAGTGTAAGGATAAAAGTATAAATAAAACAAATTCTTAAATATTTTAACAAACATTTAATTATTATACTTTATCAATATATTATTTATAATAATCATAATTTAACTACAAATTAATTATGTAGTGCCTATGTGTCCGTTATTAGATGAACTAATCCTCGTGTAGGAAAACATAGACATGGAATATATTCTCTACAATTTATTATTACATCTATCCTAGCATAGACGCCTAAATTGTCTAATAGATTACGTTTATGTCTGTTTTATTGCACATACCTCTTAATCAAACGACATCATTTCCAAACGCATAGCAATTTGAACGTAACGGAGCAGTGCTATCAATAAGTAATTATTTGGAAATGCTTTCCTTGAATCCATTCAATGCTATTTAGCTACAGCGTGATAACTAATTTTTAAAAACCACAGTAGCCAGACAAATTTATTAGGAACATAACATGATACAAATTTTATAACAATTATTACAATATTACACTATTTTTAAATAATTTATACACTATAATACAAATGAAAGCTAGCAACACAGCTGGATTTCAGCCGCATATTGTCCGCGATATGAATCATTTAGTCCATATTGTCACTTAAACCTCGGAATTCTTTAAAAGCACTTAAAGATTCTAGTCCATGTTCACAAACAACAATATTACTCTTCATTAAATCTCTCACTTTAAAAGTTATTCTTTAATAAATAATACCAGTATAATTTAACGTATTCAATCGAGATCTCAAGATTTTTTGTCGGTGGGTCGTCACTAAGTTGGACTATGTGGTGGGTGCGGGGTGTGTGGTGGGTGCGGGGGCAGAGGGTGCGGGCTAGCGTCACGAAGCGAGTCCGGCGACGAGCCGGGTGATGAGCGACGCGGTGGGTACGGCGAGAAGCGGTGCTGCGAGAGTCCCGCAGGAACTCCACCTGGGTATACGGGTCGCGGTAGCTGCAGTCCGGAACCCGACGCGAGATGTTGCTGAGCCAGTAGCTGCGGCGCCAAACAGGCCCATTGGCCCCAAAGCGCCGCCGCTGGCACTCCGTATAGCGGATACGCTGCGCGAAGGAACAGCTGCGAACGAGCAGCTAAAATTGCTTTCTCCTCCAACGTCAAGTTATTGTTGTGCTGGTCTAAGTCAAAAGGCCGCAGCGGAGAGCGCAAGTAATGTTGCTCCGCCAGCATAGACTCCATTGTTTCTCTGAAACGAACAAATATATATGTCAAGATATAGCTTAAATAGAAATCAGTTTTAGGATATTGCGAAGGGAAATAAGTTCGTATCTACCTATGATTAGCAGCGCTGAAGCGCGCATCATCGAAGACCGAAGTTCGTTCGTGCTCTCCCGTGATATAGAATCTCAACAAAGAAACAAATTAAAAATAAAATATTAGCATGCTCTAAAATAAATACGAATGTGCAAATAATTATTACATTATGTCGTAGAGTACGCAATGAATTATTAATAACGTCACGCGAGTCGAACGTTCAAAGAGAAATCTGGAAATTATAAATCAAGCGGACATGAACGTTATGTTGGTCTATGCTAACATATATCTCTATTCGATTGCCTATGAAGTGGTAGATAGAGATGTAATTGAGTACGCGGAGGCATCAATCAGTGTCGCTTACATTTGTTTCTCATAGCGTGACCAATTAACGATTAGAAATCGTACGAAATGTTGTCCTAAGCGTATTAGTAGACAGTCAATATTAGCGTATGAAATAATAATAACAATAATCTATTTAACCTTTTTGTTATTTCAAGAGGAATATGGATATTTCTTCGAGATTTAAAAAAATAATTATTATATTAAATTCTACGTAAATCAACATAAATACATAACATAAATAAATTGCAGTGTAGGTACAGGTGCATTATACACATTCTAAGCATCCAATTTTTTTTTTATTTGTAGTCTGTATTTGATTTTAGCATGAACTGTTTAAGTGTAATAACTCAGGTACCATTTTCTAAAGAAATTCAAGAAATTACGCGGATAAAGTTACGGTAGATATGTTCCAAGAGTTATTTTGTACAATCTGTGTAAATTTCTTGTCAATAATTTTTTTTGTGTGTTAAATCTGTTCGTAATTCGTTTTGATAGGGGCACAGTTTTAGGCGTTAGATTAGTGTTTTAAATCATATCAGATGCAAATAAGGAAAATAATTAATTAGAATGGTGTCAACTAGAAAATAACGCACATACACTTCAATTTTATTTGTTTAAATATTCTATTAAGTAGATATAAGTTAATTTTTGAAATGGTTATTTCAATTCATTTTCATTTTTATTCCGTAATATTATTAGATGATTTCGACAGAAACGATTCACCTGGTTTTTGTTTATACGATGCAATAATATTTAACTTCGTGTACGAAAAAAAAAACAACAAAACTATAATGAATATCTACCTCTCGAATTCAGTGAGACGTGAAGAGTCCCGGAATCCCTTTGCAAATGGATTACTGTCGATTTTCAGTTTTGTGATCTGAAACAAAGGAAATACGTTATATTATTTTGGTGAAGAGCCAATATCAAAAAAGTTCGATATTTCGTACCTCATCATCATCTCTCTTATATTGAATAAAAAAACAAACCTAAAAGCTGATTTCAATTCTTTTATTTTATATTAAAAGTAAAATTTGGAAGAAATAGGTTAGACAAAGTAATCGCGTCAAATGTTTTCTCTTTGAGAGCTCTAAATTTTAAGGAATTTCTCCGTTTTGTTAATGAATTTTAAAATATTCAAATAAGAAAGGAATTTAATAAGGTCTAAATGTCATAAGATGCATTTAATCAAGATTTAAGGCGTGCTAAACAAATATTTCTTAGTAAACTAAGCTGAATTAAGTCGATGCACCCATAAAGTACTGCACACTCCTGATTTAAGTGCGGGTCGAGGTGTTAAAAAATGTGTTTGGCAGAGCGGAGGCAAACACGGATGAGAAATCGCCCCCTCGCTGAGTACGGCGCTCCCGCTGCGGCCGCGCACAATTTGCAAGCAATATTTACGACAAATCTCCAAGAAACCAGTCGTCATTAAAACGGCGGTTACCTAGCATCCGGGCGGTGTGAACTAATTTGTGCTGCTACATTCGCCATAACTTGCAAATATCGAAAAGTTAACTCCTTTCTGTGGCATGTAGGTAGTAAAAAAACAACAGGCGACATTCGTACAATCTTCGAACATCGTACAAATCGTGTCAATCTTTCAGCGGTAAACGAAGTCGGCGGCAGTAATTACCTGGCGATTGAGCCGAGCTCCGTTGATCTGTTCTACACACCTACCTACGCGAGAGTTAATTGCGCGGTATTTCGACAAGTTCGCACTAGCCGTGTATTTCAGAACGATGAACCCCACGAGCGAACGAGCAATTTATGTAATAGAAATTCTTGATATTATTTTGTGGGGCGAGAAGAACATGGGGATCGCTCGATTTAATGAAACTATTTTAGAACTTCCCTATTCCGTGGAGATTTTAATAGAGTTTTCTGTTGTGGTTTAAATTGTTTATGCATTCTTTTGATGTGATCGGTCACAGAAGAGCGTTAATTCACGATACATTTTCATTAGGTAACTCTCAGTATTGTTCAGGATCAAAGGAAACAATAAAAATAATAAAATATTAAGCAATTGCTAACAAAACTTTGATTTCATGATTCTTATAACGATTTTAAAATAGTATAAGGGCATTTTAAACGTAGGTATAACATACTTCTATAAAACTAATTTGAAGATTATAAGAAAGTTAATGAATACGCAGCGCGAATGTCCAGTCATAGCATGTGTGAGATGATTCGACATACTCTATAAGATATAACGTCAAATTAACATAGCTAGCGTCGCCTCTGCGTCCTTCGACGAAGCGAGAGCCGGTGTCGAGGGTCAGCCGCGGCGCAGCTACTCAACTTGCACACCCACCTGGCGAATGCCATTGACTACAATGGCCTTACTCTCGTCGCACCTGAGTTTGACGTAATGAGTGCGCCTAAAATGCTAGTGGTAGCTGACAATATCGACGTGTATACATTATTTATGTTTTCCATCAGTCAAAACGAACGTTATTGTTTCGTGTCGTATTTGCATTGTAAGCTACGTTTAAACTAAACGATACTTCTAATGTATCAATTACAATAGCACCCAATAATATTACAATGACAATTGATGTTTAAAAAACATTAAATCTACAACAGTTAGTCACCGAAACAACTGGAATAATGAATCGAAAGCTATCCAGCTACCGACGTTTATTAGATTTAGTACAAACATAAGGGTGCGGCGTGTCAAAACAACCTAATTTAAGTATCAACAAACGTTCGCCTTGGGCGGCGGCAGCACTTTCCTTCGCACTGACAACATTAAAGGCGCCATAATGACATTATTCCCGGGCGAGAAACAAAAAACTTTCACAAAAAGGCGTCAAGGAGATAGAAATGAGCGTCGTTGTGACGCCGGCGCACGCTCCTGCAAAAGACGCTCTAATTATTGAGTAGTGATATATTGTTTGTGGCAGTTAATACGGCACATGTACCATACCTCTCGAACGGGAATTTAGAAAGAAACATATTGTATGCAATCTGTTGAATATTTAAGAAGCTTTAAATAATTTACGGTTCATAAGCTGTTTTTATCCAAGTTGACAAGAAGCACGAAATAAATATTCAAGTAACAAGTGAACACGTATAAAGGCGTTGGACGAACGGAATACGACAGGAACATTGTGTAGAATAAATAAATGTCACGCTGCGCTGGGCAAGCCGAGCTCACTCCTTTGCCTACCTCTCTCATTGATTGATGTAGGGCAGCGACGAAGAACTAACGACCAGGCGATATGGGATTATTCAAATATTTTCTTGCACGTTTATTTTTTGCAATATTGATGATATTCGTGCCGTCTTCAAAAATATTAAATCTTAAATTACCTAATAGAATGTAAATATTTTAAGAAAACAAATACTAAATCAATCGTTTATTTAATTAGATACTCTGACAATTTTACATTTCTTTGGTTATTATGATAGTAGATTCAGTAACAGCAGTTACAATTTTAATATCCCTCATCTTCATCTAGCAAGTCTATAAAGTTTAGACTCTCGCTGATAGTGCCTACGGATATTATAAAATAAACTGTATGCAGATTGTAAATATCTTCCTCAATCAAAGAAACTATCCTCATAATTAGTCTACATATCAACATTATAGCCAATTTCAGTTGTTTTAAATCAAATGATCCCTTCTAGATTATGTGTCCATTTGGAAATAAATATGTACCTACTGTCATTTAAAGCTTTAGTTCGGAGCCAGCCTGTGATTTGAATCTCTGTTCAAGCGAGAGAGCAGATCCATTAAGGAACCCACTGTCAGTATAAGATCGACTTTACACTCATGTCCGTAGTTTAGGCTCTGAACTTTAAAGATCAGTGAGTAAGCAATTTGCCACATTTTAATAATGTATCCTTGTTTAGTAAATTAGCATAAAGATGTACAGATAACATGAAAATAAAGTGACACCTGTCAAATTTTTGATTCGAAATTTTACAGCAGATAATAAATGAAAGATACGAACAGTTAAATTGTTTTAAATTACAAATATATAACTTATTTATGTGATAGTACAATAAATCAAACACTTAATATAATTTAATAAAAGTGTACATCTACGGAAATAATTGTACTTTTAAAGTAATACAAACATAGTTTTTTTCTGTGTGCCTGGGTGTGCAGACGCAATAAATTCACCCGGGCCGCACACGATGGCTCTGCGTGACGTCACACCTCGCGTGATCGATGGCGAAACAGAAAGAGATCGAGTACCACAGCAACGCTCATCTCTCTGTTCAAGAGCGAGATAAAGAGCAAATAAATAATTTTATGTTAAATTATTTTAAATCTTCTCATAAGCAAGTACGTTGACTTCTTGTATTTTTGACTTATGTTGGTTTCGTGTTATCGCGCTTATTATTCATTGAAAAATGAGCATTTGCAGCGATTCAACGGCGTTCGTACTTTTATAGAGGCCATATAAATTCTTTGCTTCGATATTGAATCATGTTGTCCAATACAACATCATGATTTTGAAGCAAACAAGAATTCAAAGGTACCTACTAATTTAGGTAAGCAGTACTTAAGTAATTTTAGTATAATTATGACTTTGTTCATGGTTGATAAAGACCGGTAACATTTTCAGTAATGGCCATAGGAAAAAGGTAATTAAGTGATAGATTTCTAAACAATAGAAAATGCTACCTGAAATCATAGAATAATTTCTAAAAAACTTGCGATATCCCGAAAATAGCATAGCATATTATTTACTAACTTTTACCCGCGACTTCATCTGCACAGAACTTAAACAATAAACCTAAATCTATGGGGTTCTTTGCGCAAATAGTTCAATTATTATCGAAAACTATGTGAAATATGGTAAATGTTTTAAACTTTAACTTCATTCTTTAACATTTTATAGTTTTGTTGTAAGATGAAAACCATCACAAGTAAATGTTAAAAATCGATTTTGCATCAAAACTTTAAGAGATGGAGAATAGTTTTACGACCGTTTTTGTTGTAAAATCAGGTACAAACCAAAAAATGTCGTTCGACACTTTTTTGTATCACTTATGGTTATGAGATAACCATCAAAATTCATTTATTTTATCAGTTTATCAATTTCACAAAGAAAACCTCAATGTTTTCTGGAAAAAATATAGCCCAGATAATTTCTGATATACACTCTATCTGTTTGTGAAGTTTCATCGCAATGGGACTTCGGAATTATCGGAATCGAATTAGACAAAACAAACAGACAGACAGACACTTTTATTGATTGAATTTTATTGATTGATATAGAAGATAATATACTGGTATATAATGATTATGTACAAAATCGTCATATTAAATCAAATGATATTATTCTTAATTTACGGTTACCTAATTAATTTTTAAGTTTTTATTTTATTTTTGTTATTATGATTACGTTTTTTAATAGTCACGCAAATGATAAAAAGGAATGAAGATTTCGAAACTGATATGCGTAAAAGTTCATTTTTCATAAAACAGTTTGTCAAGACATTAAACCGTCACTTAATATTTTTGTGATTGTTATTAGATTTTGCAAATACTTTTGCAATATAGTTCTATCTTTAAATTTCTTTATTTCACGATCTTCCTAACGGTTTAATAGGAGCCCCGTCCCGATACTCCAGGAAAAATTACTCCCATTGCCTATGAGTGTTTTAAAATACAAATACTAATTCCGTTACTGTTTGGATTGCTGCATGTTTTAATTACTATTTTGACTTCTATTTTACGACAGTAACTGCAATATTTATACCTATTGTATTTAAAGTTAAATTATAGCTATTAACTACTATTATATGTAACGAAATCATTTGAATATTTGCATCAATTTACAGCAAACATTTCATTATCAAAGCAATATTTCGAGTAAATAACTTTATTTAAAAGATATTTGCGTGTGGATTACGCGTAAGGTTAGGTTTCGCTTCAAATTGGCATCGGTTTTGACTGAGCCATTGTTCTGACCACATTTTTCCTAACAACAAATACTTATCATAAAAACTAATAAAGTTGGGAGAGACGGTCAGAGGGAGTAAGTGTAATAAGGATGCTTTGAATGACACGTGAAAGTGGAACCATAAAACGGAATGCAATTTAAACTATTTCAACTGGTACTTTGTGGTTAATTATAATAGAGTTAATCTTTGGCAAATTAAAATATCAAAAAAAAAATGATTTACAAATTTTCATGCAAATCGTCAGCCTCTCTTCTTAGGATATTTGAGAGATTTTACTAAGAAGGTAAAGGTAGTAACAAGGAAATGATTTTATTTCAAGTTTTATTTACAAGTTTACTATACCTACGCCGCTGCCCCGCCGACACAAATGTAATTGTTAATTGCAAATTTAAGTACTTATTTAACACGTGCTCGGTGGTGAAAGAAAACATCGTGAGGAAATCTACATGTCTGAGAAAAAAGAAAAGAAATATTTCGAAGACATATGAAGTTCGCCAACACGAATTGGGGCAGCGCGGCGGACTAATTCCATGCCCTAAAACCTTCTCAGAAATAAGAAGAGGCTTGTACCGTATATATAACTTTAACTTTTTTAACTTAAACTGCGATATTCGCAATTATTTACATGCATATTTAAGCGTATAATTTGCAAAAACATTTTTTTCAAGTTTCACTATTTAAATAAACCTTAACCAGGTGGTAGAACTCTCGTTCTGCGTGTGAGTCCTCTTACTTATTTCTACCGCTATGTAGCAGTGCGCGCAATGCAGTGTTCCAGTCTGTGGGGTACAGAGAGCCAGTATAATTTTACGGGCTGTGAGGCATTCCAGCATTCCACCTCGGTTCTCAGAAGTGACAACGCATCTGTAGCCTTCTTTGTTTGAAGTTGGCTGCAGGTGGCTGCTGACCAACAGGAGAACTGTAAGTTCATGTATCATTTCAGTATTATACAAAAAAAAACCATACGTGAGTGTCGTGAAACACTCGGTTGGAACGAAGTTCCTTTCGTAGTATATTATTATTGATAAACGTATTATATTATTGATTAACAAAATAAATACAAATAAATGAATTACTAGCGTCTATTAAAATGAAGCGTCGTTTAAAATAAAAAAAAGTTCCTTTCGTAGTATATTATTATTGATAAACGTTTTATATTATTGATTAACAAATACAAACAAATAAATAATAAAAATAATTAAAAATTTTAATTAAGACATTGTCGGGTTGAATAAATTTGATTTTAGCGTTTTATTGTTTACTAATTATTGAATCAATCCATACATTACAACATATAAAAGTCCACTACTGATAATAGGCCACAAATAAAATTAAATTAAAAATTAAATGAAAATTAATTAAATAAAATTAATTACATTTCTTGAGTAGGGGATGAGAAAATGGCGACTTCCTTTGATAATTACAAAAAAACTAAACTAAACAGTGCAGTGTAACTTCACTTGAAATAATTAAACAAAAAAATTCACCACATTTGTGTAGGTACAATCTATTTGCTAAGTAAAAAACATCGGGAGAGCTAGTTTACAATAATAAAAAAGGATCTCTTTCATAAGAATGAATCGATTATCGAAGAAAGAGGTGCGTTAAGGAGGAAGGGCGGGCGGCAGGGGCCTCGTGACACCTGACCGCAGCCATTTTGGCCCGTGAAATATGTTTATTTGTCATGGATGCCTTTTGTTATTGAAATTGTGTTTGCCTTTACTCCTTCATTATATTGTTCGATTATGTTCGAGCTAGAACTCGTTGGTGGACGTTGAATGCCAGAATAGATACGGTCTGAAGATTTTAGTATATTGATTGTTGATACTGAGAAATGAGAAATAAATTTCAATTAAGTAACTATTGAGCGTGATTACGTTTGTACTTGTTTGGATAGCGGGAGTCGGTTATATCCGTGATTATCTCCTCAAATCACGTTATGATCCAAACGCAATCGGAACAACAATGTTGATGCAGATGTTATAGTATTTTTTTTTAATATTTATTAGTGCTTATTGCCTACACTTTATAGGTACACTTTATTGTTTTTAAAACATTTTTTTTGCGAAATTGTTGTAAAGGACCATAAGATCATCGAATGATCTTCAAAAATCTAGAAGTAGAACTATAAGCTTATTTATACCTACTCACAAAGCAAATATATCTATGCGCAGATTTGATTCCTCTAAATATATTCTCAAAGGAACGATCAATCACAACAAATTCACAAGTCATCGCCTTTTAAAAACGCATTGTGTTCATTGAGGATGCGTAAACTCTAACAAACATTGTCACCTCGCTGCGACTCGAATTTCAGACAAAGGAGCGTTCACAAAACGCACAACACGACAATGGTGTGGTGGGTGTAAAAATGTTAAATATTGAAGCAGGTCGGAGCGACCTAGCCCGCGGCGATTTCCCGGGAAACCATCCCGCGGCGCGGGCCACGGTGCGGACCACGGCGACGCACCGTCTCACACGGCGAACACACACAAAAAAATCCAATTCACGACAAGCACTTTTTTGTCAACCAGATTTTATCTTGTCTTATATCAACGTTCAACATGGTAAAGTCAAATAATGATGTTTCATTCCAAATTAATAAAACAAACATCGCGCGATCAGAAAAACATGGTGACACTTTTTTTCTCAAGCATTCAAATTCTTATACGATTAATCGTCTATACCAGATCTATATCTATGTAAAAAATATAGCCTCTCTGACATTTGTGAGCGAGTGGTTGTGTGTGTGCGTCTTTTATGTATAGAATTTAAAATTGTGCGGGCATGAGACGTATTGGACTTGTTCTGGACGCAGGTGCAAACATGCTAAGTGTATTCTTATTGTTGTAAGGGTTTGCGTTATCAGTGACACTATCTCCGGCATTCGACAAATGTTTTAGCTGTCAGAAGTGTGACGTCAGCCAATTCGGGCCAAGAGCAGCGCGCGCGACGCCTGTTCTTTTGTCGTGATCGAAGTTCCGATATCAAGCTCTTTACATTCTGAGGTAGTTGCCGTAGACATTTCAAATTTTGTAAAATCACTAGATAAAATAACACATTTTTCTTGTAGTAATTATTTAAAAAAAATATCCATAAACAATTGAATGTAGCATAGTATTGTTTTCACTAGCATTGGCGACGGAACGCTAGCAGTAAATTCAGGAAGGCATTACAATCAATTGGTATCAATAATCGTCATCCCTGGGGAGCTGTTTTCGCGACCTTTGCCTTTGTATCCTCGCAAAAGCCATTAGATTTATTAACTTTATATTAACATTGTGTACTAGAGTACAAAAAGGGCATGTGTGTGTTTGTTTTAAAAAGGTAATATTATATCAACCAGTTACATAAACGATTTGTAAATTAATTTAAAACAAAAACAGCTTATATTTGTAGAACTCGAAACAGCTAATTAACGAACGAATGAAGATTTATGTACTGCGTTGTCGATATAAAGTAACGCTTCCTTTATGAACCTCAAAACGTCCTAATTACTACTCGGGACGAAACAAAACGAGAAGCTCGGAGACGCCCAAACGCTCTTGTGACAGAGAATTAATTGCTCGTGGCGACACATGCGGAGCGGGCGCGGCAACGCCGGCGGTCGCGTACAGCGACTCACTGAGCGTTTAGCGGGTAGCGGGTATCATGTTATGTCGTCTAAATTTTATGAAAACTAGTTTGAAAATTATCAAAAAAATAAGAATGGTTAATTTATAACGTAAAAAAGTTTTTATCAATTCTTCTAATTAATTTATATGACAGCTAAATTTCTCGTTGCTTGCCTCATTGAGAGAACATTTACCATATTTACTATGCCTGGCAAACGGATTGGCATCCGCGGGTAATCAACTTTTATCAGGAAGATCCCATTGCCCTTATCCTGGTTCAGTTTTCCCATCAGGGGATGATATGGGGTATTGGATATTCCTACACCGCCACTACGCGGGCAAACGCGCAATCTTTACTTGACAGTGGGTATAAATTGTAAAACGCTAGTCGACAAAACATGAAAAAATCGTATTTCATGATTGCCATTCCTTATCATGTTTAAGGAATTGTTTAAATTAGAAAACCAAATTATAATGTATTTGAAAAAATAAAAAAGGGTCTACAAATTTTACGATTCTAGAATTTTCGAAAAGTCAAAGATCATTAGCGAAGTCAGTTGCGAGCCGGTCATCATTGGCGACTGGAGATTTGTGGCAGCACATCGACTTAGCGCTTATATTTAGCTCGGGTGAAAACTTTAATCGTCACCGTTGTGCACGCGTCAGCCGCGCTGTCGGTCCGTCGTCGGTGACGCGCGCGTGCGGCCACTTGATAGACAAAAAATTATGTGCCACCTTCCTTTGTTCGGACTGGGCATACCTTTCAGCAAGATGCAATTAGTGTTATAGGAATAGAACCCGTCGATAGTCAGCCGACAACGCGATGCAATTTCAAACGTTTGGCTCTCTGATCTATTTTAGAAATCAAATGATACAAGCAAGAATGGCTTGAGAGATGCCAAATAAAACTGCCAGACGACTTATTTATGAGCGTATCGGTTAACGAGATGGGTGACGGGACAATCAGGGGTACTATTATAGTGTTGGTTCATCTCGCACATTGCGATAAAATTCACGATCGAATTCGACACCAATATGGATGTTTGACATTTCTCCACTGTGGCATTTTCCGGAAGTTGTCTGCCTCGTATGACTACTGGAATTAGCTGACACCTGCTATTTTTCTAAAACCGATATGACTTTTAAAAAGAGCATCACCTGTAATTCATTACGTACCATTAGGAAAGCCATGTGCTTATTTACACTTTGTTCTATGCGTGAATAAAACTTACGAGTTGGTTCTGATATGCAGTGACGGCAGTAAAGACGCACTCCGGGAATATGAAGGTCTTGAACTCTTCTTGTTCGAGGTCGGTGATCGGAGCGTTGATGGCACCTTCTCGCCGCAGTACCAAATGTATGCGCGGTTGATACTTGTGCATTGAATTCAACACCAACTACGGAAAAATTGTTATTTTTTAATCGGACGAATAATACTTAAAATATTTTTACAGGAGTAGATATTAGGGTTGCCACCTTTTTAAAATAAAGTGAAATTAATTATTTGACTTGTATTATTCCTCATAAAATATAGTTTTTATTGCATGTAGCAACATCTTGTACAACAAATACTTGTGTACAAAGACACAATATCTTTACAATCTATGTCTATGTAAAGATATATACATAATTCATTTTTAATTACCTATATAATAAGTTTAGTGGCACGTTTTTTTTTGTCTATTGCATGTACATTTGATAGGTATACACGTGACGCCCTGCAAAGGCATAGCAACACTAGAGGACTAAATATTTTTGTATAACTTTTAAAGATAAATTTTAAAATATCATATCATCGACATTCAATATTATTTTATATAAATTACTTAAATTAAAAATACAATATAGTCGAAGTATCCTTTCTTTGTCATTTTTTATCGTCAAAAAATCATTCAAAGTGTATAATAACATTTATTAATAAGAAATGCTTTTAATTGTTTATTAAATTGCGAGGGTTTTCTAGGATTTTTATAGAATTCGGTAAATAGTTATAAATCTTTATTGACATAACGTGGGGGCTAGTCGAAACTAATTTTAATTTAGAAAAGGGTACCCTGAGCTTATATAAATTTCTATTATTTCTTTTATCTTGTAACAGCTGAGTTGAATTTTGGGTGTTTCCTGACGAATTGACAAGACTGAAGGGTGTAGAACACGTAAATGTTACTATAAAAGTCCACTGTTGAACATAGACCCCCTCCATAGGATGTCTCAAAATAAAACTGCAGCAAAACCCTCCTGGAAGACTTGTACATCTGGATGTAGATTCACAAACAAGCTAACAATCCATGTAATTCACTTTAGCTTATGAAAAGCACATGAGTAAGAATATGGTACGATTACTCTACTCATGTGTCAAAAGTCCATAGTTAGGTACTGCATTTTCGACAGTCGCCACACCTGACAGGCGGTACTATAGTTTTATTATTATTTTGAATTGTTCCACTTGTTGTTTCATTCAAGTTAATTCATGTTATATACGAAAAATTAAAAACATACTGTTATGAATGTAACCATACATTAAGATTTAACAATTTGTGTTTAGCGTGATTTCGAATTCGGATGCGAATCGAACTCCAGACCCTATGACAACTCCAGCCACGCGATTGTTACTAAGCGCTATTACCTATGTATCCTACGCAGTTTAGAGCTTTTGATAATATCTGATTGTTGTAGTATCAATATATGAAAATGACAGGCCGCGGCTTTAATCATATTTCATAGATGTAAAAGCCTGTATTAGTTAGATGGCCACTTTACTTATAGATTGCGGTTAAATTAAGTAATGGTAATAAGCTATCACTAATGCACGAACCTGTCCGTTCTTGTCCATCTCATTGTTGGTGAGCTTGACTTTCTCGAAGGAGACGACCTGCTTGCGCAGCTGGTCGCCGGCGAAGGGCGAGTCGGGGTGCGGGTAGAGGCGCGCGGGCGCGGGCGGGTCGGCCTTGCCGGCCACCAGCCACGAGGAGCGGTGGTAGGCGTAGCGGTAGCGCTTGCCGTCCACCGGCACCACGTCCAGCAGCACCGCGTAGCGCGCCTCCGCGCGGCACCCCGCGAACGACACGCGCACCGTCGGGAACATGCGCCTACCGAACCAATTACGCATTTCAATCGATCAATCAATATAATATTGTATCATTGTCATCGTAGTAGACAAAGGCTGTTTCGAGAACACGCCAAGAGAGAGTAGCCCATACGCAACCGTCTATAGAACTTGGGAACAATTGTGTATAGATTTTCTGTCATTAGACGATCGTCTGAGCTTTGTTCGTTAGTCAGAAGGATGTACCACGTATAGGTGAAGTTATCATTTGGAGGAAAAATTTATATATTCCCTCTAACAGTCAATATAGTCCGTACAGCAATAAAAATTCACATCCAATATCTAAAAATGTTGGTTTCATATGCGCGCTACCCGGGTTCGATTCCCACCGGCACAAAGAAATTGTTATTGCAATTTTATTTGCTGATTTACCACATAGCGGTGAAAGAAACTTACATATCTGAGAAATAAAATATTTCACAGACATGTAAAGTCCGCTACACGCAATAGAGTAGCACTGTTGACTAAATGCTCCATCGCCTTTTCATAAATGAAAGGTCTGTGCTCAGAGGTTTAAATTACTTTACTGAATAAAATCGCGTGAAAAGCGATTTCTTCTACACAACCTCTATTTAAAGAACTAATGTAACCAAAGAATGAAAAAATACAGTTGTGCAGTAAAAAAAAAAACTTAAATATAAGGCATAATACGAAGACAGCTCGTTTTAAGATAGTATAATTTCAACACGTATAAATATTATGAATGTATTTGTTATCTAAAGCCTATCATGGCTATTTATATTTTTATTAAAAGAAATTGTACACAAAGTGTTCCACATTCTATAAAACAGCGGCCTATTGAACGGCATTTTAAGTCTGATGAAGCTGTAAAAGGCAAGGATGTTATAAGGTAGAGCATTTTATTACTAATCTTTTAACTTTGTCCATTCACACGCCAAAAGTCAAGGCGTCGTTTAAATTATCTTTAAAACTTTTGTATATATAACGCACAAGCTCCCAAATCTTCTTAATTCTTAATCTTACTAACAGTATACATGTGAAAGTTTGTATATTAGTTTTATTATTACTTTAATAACTGAACAGTTTTAATTGGAATTATACAAAAATGAGGATCTTGAGCGTGTAGTGGCGGTGTAAAAATATCTACCGCCCTATATCATCCCGTGGATGTCGTAAGAGGTGACAGAGGAAAACAAGTCAGGAGATGGGCAGCAACGACTTCCTAAAAGTTAAAGTTACAGCCTATATACTTCCCACTGCTGGGCACAGGCCTCCTCTCGTTTTACTTTTTACATATAAAATAATGATTGACCATATTTAAAAAAAATATCTAATAGGTTGCATTTCATGTTTTAAAAGGAAAGAGAAAGTTTTTTTTTTACAGTATAAGGATAACAAATGAGCACACGCTCCACCTGACAGTAAGTGGATGCCGTGGCTCATATCATCTACATCTATCCTTGATTAAGAATCAAATGCAAATGCGTTGTCACCCGTGAGGACTAAGAAGACTTTAAAAGGGTTTGCGGTTCTCTACACTCACCATAAGAAACACAGCAGCATGCAGCTGCTATATTACACTGGTATTCTGAGCCGACCCATTCGTGCTACAATCATATTATCGCTGCAGCGTGGCTCTACCACGTAAATAAAAAAGTATTTAAAGCTTTGTTAATACCTATATATTTATAAAACTTATTAAAAAAAAATATTTTTTCGAGTCGCTGGAAACATGGGTTACATTTATTCTTTCATTAGAACACCTTAAAAAATAAATCGAGAGGTATGGATTTTTAAAGAAAATCATGGTAAACAAACAAATAATTTTGTTTCTGTGTCTTCAACACCTAAACATATATTTTTTATTATAATGAAATTTATGACTTCTTCCATGTGCGTAAATTTTTTCGTTTTATTTTTCTTTATTTTATACTCGCTGCGTAAACTTCCTACTTCCATTGTTATGTTAAAGCGTAAATTTTCACATTAACGCAATTATTCGACAATTACTTGGTTGAGCTGAAATGACTGCCACCTGAGACCGGCACCAATCGTCTTTCGCTCATTAGAGCAAGGGTTATCGCGAATTATCGCAAGCAATTAGCACAACAATACGGTGGCAAGTAATCTCATAGGAAAAATGAGAAATTGTGTTGTTATATTTGCTTTTCGCTTTACTTTACTTTTACTAAGCTTTGTTTCGTAAAGTTTATATTTTATAAATATTCTAAGCGCTGTTGTTTTTTTCAAAATGGGAGCGCCATTGCTATATTTAGGTACCTTCCCCTTTACGAAGCCACTGTCAGCAATAATAAATATTTAGAATAAAAAGGTAATAAAATATGCCCATGTTAAAGAATGATAAAGATGAAAATCGTATAACTTTTTTTGGCGCCGTGAGCAAACATATAGGGCTTATTGTGACTGCTTTTATACGAATGTGACTCTAAGCTATCGCTCCCCTTCCCCTCTTTAACGGAGACATTCTTTAACGTCTCCTGTTGGAGAAAGATGAATGGGTAGACATTTTTGTAAAGGCATACATTTTTGTTTACTGTAAGTAAAGTTGCTTGTGGTTGGTTGACATTAAGGGTCTTATTACATTCTTCTATGTAACATTTACGTTCACAGGAGAGAAGGTTACGACAAAGATAATAAAAATAAAAGTTGAAAAGACGTGAAAGTAATATCTTAAATCAGTAACAAGAAACAGATCATAGACAGTTAAAGAAAAAAAAAACTGGAAAAGTTATCAAGATAATAAAGTCGTTGTGTACAGAAAGGAGTGACACAAAAAGTGGTGTCGGTAGCGGGCGCGTGAAACACAATCTTCTAATCGACACAAAATGGTAGTCATTGAGGCGGTGAGAACGGAAACAACAAATCTTAGCCCGTAAGTTGAGAAGTCGATTCACCAGGCCTCTCACTTTTTTGTGTAGTGGGGGAAAGCAGTTGATAATTTGCGATCAAATGATCGTACCTTATTCTATGATGCCATCGGCTTCGGCTTCTGACCCGACATTAGGACACCATTCATTCGCTTAGCGGCCACCCATGTCGTTTACACAGCGTATATACATAAGTTATTTACGACACAAATTTCATAATTTACAATACGATTGTGATTGGCGTCATTGGTAATAGAAATTTAATGCCTCGCTATATAACAGAGGACTCGCGCGTTGGAGTAACAAAGGCGAAACGATAGGAGAGTGAGCGCAGTTTTAGACTTCTCAGATTGAGCGAGGACGAAAATAAGAATACCATTAATAAGATTTATGCATGTTTAGCCGTGGTCGCGCGCGTCGATTTGTGAGACGTTTCATACGGCATTCTTGATGGTACGCGCATAAGCACAGGCAATTGCGCGCGTGCGTTAATGGCGACACTCGACGCACAGCACGATATATATTACCGCAATGATATATTACCATCGGCGTCGTCCATCATTCTACCACCCGAAAGTTAGCGGAAAAGCGAGCGAGAGCAAAAGGACAGCGAGACACGCGTTCTTCGGTTTTAATGAGCATGTACCGAAGACAGAAATAAGGGGGCGATCGTTTACAGCGTCCTCATTACAGTTATGACATTGTTAAAGTAGATGTCTACGACTTAGGTTTAGATGTAAGTCGTAAATCTATTCACAAATGTCTTATTTTACGTCCCTTACATCAGCGTCCAGTGTGCTTGTAAAAATGTCTGTTTTGCGAAATATTTTTGAAAACATTTAGTTCATACTTAAAAACAAGAATGTGGCTATTTATGTTCGTTAAATAAAAAATAAATAATTACCACTACGAATATTTGATTACATCGCCTTTTCGATAATGTCAGAGAAAAGTTTAGATTCTAACGTTTTGGAGTTTGTAAAATAAGGAAATAATAAATCGTGCATTACATTAATATTGCTTGTAAATTAATTTATCGTATTAATACCTACTATCTTTTAATATGAATAGACAGTACCTTTATTATATAATATCTTTTAGGTTTCATTAAATTTTTGATTAATGCTATAATATTTTTGAGATCTATCCTGCATTAGCCCCGGGTTAGTTTCCCGCGCAATGAAAAAAATAAGAATATTGTGTCTCTCAACAAGACACCGACTGCGATTCGTTTACGTTGTCTATATTTGGACATTATTAAAATAATCAAACCTTTAAAAAATCAAATCCGATTGAAAATAACTGAAAAGAGTAAAATCTTCGAAAACGGGTAACGTGCTTAATAATTATTTGCCCTAATGCCGTGCAAATTGAAGACTTTGATGGTTTACTTAAAGGTCCCATTATCAGATCTTAATAATTTTTTGGACTACTCCCTTCCCAATAAAAGAAATTATTTATAATCGGACAACGTGGTAATATATACATAAAAGAATATTTAATAATTAACTGCAAAATAAAATGTGATTTAAGATCTTTCTTTAGATAAGAGGTATGTAATTACGCGTATCAAGTAAGAACATGGGTAAAATTAGAAGGGTTGCGAGTGAAGCATCCGCAAAGCCGCAATGCGCCGACGCACACTACAAGTCTTAATTAGTCACAGGACGGAGGTGCTAACTCGTCAATCATTGTTCTCGGGCGACCGCTTCGATGCGTCCACTGTACGCACTGTTGCAACTTTTGCAGACCGTACATCCCAATTAAAATCTTTTGTTTCACGCAATTTACTTTCATGCAAGTTAAATGAAGATTTAAATAATTGCATTTTAATATCTATAAAGTGAAAGAATAATGACTTTGTTCTTTGTCCTCCCAACGGTTTTGTTATTTTTAGTTTAATTTCTGATTCATAACGCACTGGGAAGGAAATTAACGTAGGAATACATGCATGTCTAAGAACTTGAATATATTTTTTTGGGAAAACTCTATCCTATTGATAGTTATTCACTCGTATTTAATCGTAATTCATTTAATCGTATTTATTATACTCTTGCCAATTACACGTGGTAGAGCTTTGCTGCAGCTATATAGTTGTAACACGAATGGGTCGGCTCGACCAGGGTGGGACTAC